CACAGAGTTGTTGTTTTAATTAGTTGAATTTCCTGAAAGTTTGTTATGTGGAATAGATTTCTTATGACGATTTAACTATACGTTTATTTATGATAACGAAACGCGATAATTATTTCTATATGATGCAGGATTCACTGTAATGTATAGTGACTAGCCCTCACTGCAAACATCTACAACAAACTGGTACAGTATTCCCTGCCTCAATACATAAATTGTTTAAATCTAGTACATGTTCGTATGTACTAAAATCTACCGTTTGTTTATTTAATTCAGGTCGTTTTGTAAAATGTACAGTGCTCGATTTGTTTTCGAAAGACGACGTGTTATTTGTTGAAGGTGAAATAGATTCTTTGTTATTACCCAGAACTTTAGTGGAAGTGGAAGACAATGCTATTCAAGTGTGGGTAGTTAACCTGTTTAACAGGAACATATAACTGAAAAATGGAACAAAATTAGTGTCTGTGGAAAATTTCTCTAACTTACCTGATCTTCAAATAGCTGATAATGTAGTGACTAGTGTTGAAGAGAACAGAAAGGAAGACTTGGAATTGCCTGATGTAGATTTGTCACATCTGAAAACTTATGAACGTTCTAATGTTAAGAATGTACTAAGGAAGTTTCCTAACTTGATTTCGGGTGAACGGAGTATAGGTACTATACCGGGGATTTACCACTACATCCCTACCAGTGATCAAAGACTTACTTGTACCAAGCAATATAGGTTCCCCGAAGCCTCAAAGGACATAATAAAAGAAGAGTGTGAGCAGATGTTACAGAATGAGCACAGCCGCAGCCCTTGGTTATCACCAGTGGTTCTTGATAGGAAAAAGGACGGTAGTATACGATTTTGTATAGACTTTAGGAACTTGAACCAAATTGCAACGGCAGATGTATTTCTTTTGCCTAACAGAACTTCTAGACATTTCAAAACAGACGAAATATTTTTTCAGCATTATATGCCAAGAGCGCCTATTGGAGTATTAACGTCATTGTTTTCTCCGATTCCTTTCAGGAGAACCTAAAGCATTTGTCGGATGTACTTAACTCCCTTGATAAAGCAGGCCTGAAATTGAAATTGAAAAAGTGTCAAATAGCCAGACGGCAAATAAAGTTTTTGGGCTTTCTTGTCTCTTCAACAGGTATCTCGCCCGATCCCGAGAAAGTTGAAGCTGTGGCTCGCATGCCGCCACCCAAAAATGCACAGGAATCCAGAAGATACCTTGGCTGTGTGGGATTTTTTCGGCAACACATCAAAGATCTCGGGGAAGAACAAACCGTTCGTTTAGACTGAAGCACAAGAAAAAGCTTTTCAAGAATTAAAGAACAGATCAAAATCTACTCCAGCACTAGTGAGGCCTAATTTTTGCAAAAGATCCAGATACATACTGATGTAGTTAAAATAGCTATTGCTGGCTGTTTCACGCAATCTGATGACAATAATGACTGACATCCTCTAGTTTACTTCTCCCGCAAACTGAAAGGTGCAGAATCAAGATATTCGGCAACAGACCTTGAAGCCTTTGCTGTGGTAGAGTCTGTCTGTAGAGTCAGTATCTATACAGACCGTGTACCATTAATAACATTTTTAAGAGACGCACGAAATCCCCTCGTATATCTAGATGGTGTATGGAGATCGCTGAATTTAATTACACAATTCATTATAAACAGGGGAAGAATAACTACGTAACAGATGCTTTAAGCAGAAGCACTGCATCTGTCTTGAAAATATAGACCTAAGAGAATTTCATGAACTACAATGGAAAGACCTGCAATGGAAAACGGTAATTGACTACTTTGAAGGGGATTATCTCCCTAGACTCGGCTCCTATTTATGAGTTTAATATAGCTAATGGAATTATTTATCATCAGATTATTCATCCCTAATGACCTACGTTCTGCGGCTTTTAAGTTGGTTCATGACAAACCTATGGCTGCTCACCAGGGAATATTTCGCAAAACTCACCTTTATGTTTTTCTTCCCAAATAAGCTGTCCTCTACCAGAGATTATATTCAACGAAGGAAGGGAGTACAAAAGCGTCAGGCATACCAACAGTCGATGTCAGAAGTGGAAGAGCCCATGGACCGTGTCAGTGCAGACTTGATGGACATTTATCAATCTTACTCCGGTAAACACTATGTTTTATCTATTGTGGACCATCTTGGCAGGTACGTGCAACTTGTAGCTTTGCCAGATAAGCAGGCCGAGACAGTAGCCAATGCTTTTTTTCACGAATACGTCAAGTTCTCTGAAGTTTGCAAATAAAACTTCACTAACTACACCGTTCCGCTCTTCTTCAAATGGTATGATTGAACGAACACACAGGACGATAAAAGATTCCTTATCCATCCTCTCTGAAGAATCTCCGTTGTCTTGGAAGGAATATCTGCCTTATGTTAGATATACCTTGAATTCTGCCATTCACAGGTCTGTTAATGTTGTTCTCTTGTATCTATTTACAGGACATAATTGTAACCCTCCATCTGGTTTATTATACAGAA